GGGAGGGGAAGGGGAGAACGCGCCTGGGTGGAGGGCACGGCTTTTCCTCCTAGCACCCGGTATTCCGTGAGGCTTCATGAAGCAGCACTAAAAACCGTGTTTGGGAGGAAAGCTGTCATGCAGAGGGGAGCGGGTCATGTTCAGGGGGCGCAAAGGACTGAGCCGTCTTCGCTTCAGGGGCGATAGTGCTATTTTAATTTTAGTTTTGTACTGAAAAGTGCTGGTGCTACTGGGTGCAATCGACGGCGTGGGTCACCGTTTCAGTTAGATGCCACTGACGTGACTTTTTTAATTGGTAAGAATCCGTGTTCTAGCGAAGCAGATTATTAAAAATGAACTCGAAAGGCGAGGTGTGCAGCCTCTTGAACCGGGCACTCGCGTGCGTGTTCGCTGGTCGGCACTAAACAGCCCGGTTTGCTGCTGACCGCTTAATGACATTAAGTGACAGCTGTCAGCTCAAGATAGAAACGGGTTGTTTGCCGAGTAACAAAATAGGTAGAGCAGAGCAGCCCATCAAGATTACAGCAGGAAATTCTCAGAAGTGACTCGGTTAACGGAATCCTGCTCTGCATGCTTTTCCTACCTGATCTTTAAAGATTAAAACCACTCAAAAACAAAAGAAAGGTGAAGTTTTGAGTCAGTCTGTTTGGCAGCTTCCCCGGTTGGTTAGGTCCCTTTTGCACATACATCATGTCACGGGAAGAGGGTGACTCAATTTGAAATATAATCTTGTTCTTAAAAACCGGAGTATTTCTCCTGGTTGTAGTCCTCAGCAGATTTGTCTAGTGGTACAGTAATTTCTTTCATTTTAGAAATAATTCTTTTTTGACAGATGTAAGGCTTTAGAAATCAAAAGAGGAAATCAGACTGATGAACTCAAAATGAAGGGAAAGTATGAAGTGGGCTGCATAAAGTGATTTTTAATGTCTGTGTCATCTGAAGATATTTTTGCCTGACAGGTACCAAATAATTTTGATCATTTGTGGTCCTTTGTTGTATATATGCTAATTCTAGTGTTAAAAAGGGCAGTTCCGTGGCAGGGTAAGCTGTAGGAAAGGGATTTTTGCTTTTGGTTTGCTTGTTTCAATTGAGGTAATTAGCCAACTTTTATTTGATCTAGATTCTGAAACACTTGCATTGATAATCTCATGTACTATTTAAACCAGGAAGTTCACAAGAGTGGAACAGAATTATGTTTTTCTTGGTAGTTACCTGGTAGTAAGTCCTGAAGCAAATACACTTCCTCCAAACAATTACCTATTTTTTTTCCTGACGTACAATGGCAACCATAAAAAAGAAATATATTATCTGCAGAGATTCAGGTTCAGCTGGAGCTCTCGAGTCCTTCATTTTCCTTGCCTTTAGTCTTTGTAATGTAAATTATCTCTAACTCGAAAGTACAATATCAGTCCTGGAGTTTAAGATTGGAAATTCCTTAATGTCATGAGGCAGTCAGTCAGGAGGGTTGCAGTCTCTACTCCTGGTGTCTAAGCAGCTGCTATTGAATGCTGTTTCTACAGTACCCATTTTGATTGCTTTTTCACCACTTCTGATTCTTAGGTGAGACATCTGTATATCTGTGATTTTCACAAGAACTTCATTCAAAGTGTACGAAACAAAAGAAAGAGGAAGACAAGTGATGATGGAGGTGACTCTCCTGAGCATGAAACAGATGTCCCGGAGGTTAGTAGGTGCCAAGCGGGTGTAGGATGCTTTACCAAGTTTGAGCATGTTGAATTTTGACTTGAATGTTTTCACGTATCAGGAAATATTTAGATTGTAAATTGCAACTCCACTGAAACTGCTATGGAGTTACTCTCGTTTTTCAGGAAGACTTTTTTTCTGATGTGTAATGTTCTAATTTTCTTCTACATCCCTGTATGAATTCTTTGCCCGTGAAAAGTTTTCTATAAAAAGAGGTATGACAAAGTAGCTGCACGGCTTTGCATATGTACTGCTTCCAAACAGAGAGCTGTTAAAACAGTATTTGATACTAATTCTTTTCTAAAGGTAAAAATAAGTTCTTTTCGGTGGTGACTGAGGCCTTGATACAGTTCTTTGTTACCTAGCATGCATCGTTTTGCAAATACACAAGAGCATGCAATAGGTCAGCCTCTCTATGTTTGGGTATATGATATCCAGGGATATTAAGCTTCTCCAGACTTTTGCATATATGGTATTTTTGGCACTATTTAAAACTGCCTTCACGTAATTCGTAACATCTTTTTATTTTCAGGAAATAGGCCTGGCTTGGGGTGGGGTGGGGGCGGTTCTGTGTTACGGAACTCTAGATAATCTCTTCTCTGTGCTATTGTGTTCTGTATTTGCTTTGGTGATGTTTCTGGTACTGTTGACACTGCAAAAAGTTGTGCAGAGGTGTCATGTTCATGGGGAAGCTGAGCTCTGGCCACATCAGCAGAGCCCTCTGCTGAAATACCACCTGTATTGGCAAAAAGCATTTTATCTGGAGGGGAAAAAAAAGGCACCAAGAATCGCTTTGCTGGCAAAGCTGTGTCTTGACTGCAAAGCTGTGACCACGTATCTCCTGTGTGGAGGCGTTGAAAGAGTAGCAAGTTTTTGGTTTGGTTTTTCAAAGGATACCTGACCATTTGTTGTAGCTGTTTGTGTTTCCATTCTACAAGGTTCTCCATCAAAACTTCCCTACGCAGGCTTTACGTTAGTTGCCAGGCTGATTGGTGAAGGCCCAGCTGGCATCTAAAATTATGTTAGTGCTGTAGAGTGTGCAGGATATTTGGTGGTTAAAAACTGAGGGTTGCACATCACCTGACTGAATAGGGAACTCTGCAGTGTGTCAGTTTTAATGTCACTTTCTTCTTGGTTTTCAGCAGAGATTCCTTTTGTCTTTGAAACATGGCATTTCCCCACATGATCTTTATCTTCCTTCCTGTAAACCTCCCCCACCACCACCCTTGCTTTTAAACTGTGTGCTTCCCATTGAAGTATTTTAATTTCGTTTCTTCTCTGTCTCTGTACTCTGTTTTATGTCACAAGCCATTTGTTCAGTGCCTGCTAAATTGATATTTCATGTGTGAGCTTTTTAAACCTTGTGGGAACAAAAGGTTCCCCTTTGCTTGGAGGTTGCAGAGGTGTAATTGAGAGCAGAAATTGGCCAGCAATTCTGTTGACAGCATGTGAACCAGAACAAAATTTTGTGTTTCCCTGAGGCTATTTTGGTCCTTTAGCATTAACAAATACAAAATATACTTAGATTTGTCAGTAAGGCAAGCCGATGTTGTTCTGAATGCAGGCAAGGAGCAGTCCTGTTGAGGAAGAAATAGTTATTTTTAGATAACTCTACATTTGTGCCTAATAGAAGCTAAATGTAGTGCTCACCCCCTCTTCTCTGCATCACTTCCAGGTTGACTTGTTCCAGCTCCAAGTGAACACTCTGCGACGTTACAAGAGACATTATAAGTTGCAGACTAGGCCTGGACTCAACAAGGCTCAGCTAGCAGAAGTAAGTGATGACAGAGGTAGTAGCATCTCTGTTATTAAAAAACTTTCTATCTCCTCTGCTGAAGTGCACATTTCTTGGACACTAATACCTGTAGTGACTGCCTCGCTAATATGTACCGTGTGCTCTGCGAAAGGTTTCAGGGGATGACGCTAACAGAAAGCTGCATGCTTTCTTTCGCCTGAGACAGTCATGGAATACATGGAAGCTGGCTCTTGAAAGCACGTTTTAGTAACTTGCTTTTCTCTGCTTCCTTTCCCTCCTTGTTCATAGTCACAATCCATTACCTTTAGGGAACAGAAACAGAACCTAGTTTCCAGTGGCTTAGGTGTTAACAGAAGATGGCCATTGTACCAAAACTCAGACCTGCACACTACTAGTCACCTTAAGTGCCCCTGTTAGATTTTCTTTCCAGGCACTTTAACTGGTTGTAATTGCTTCTTACTGAAGGCAAAATCACTGACCATGACTTCAGATTCCTTATTTCCCTCCATTTGTCCCGATGCCTTATGATTCTCTATTAAGTCAATAGAAGGCTCTTTCTTTAAGGGCCTCTACTGCTGCTTTCTCACTATATGGGGCACTTACTAAGAAAGAGCTCTCTGTAACATTTTGGGTTTTGGCCTAGTTGTGCTCAGTGTGCATCTGCTCTGCTCTCTTTCCTGACTTGATCTGAAGGCGTTCTGTGGGAAAAGTCTTCTCTAAACTTGAAAAAACTGTAACAGTTACTGAATGGTAACCAGGTTGTTTTTGTAAGCTGAGGCTTTCACAACTGTCTGCCCAAAACTGTCTGTTTTGCTTTTGCTTTGAAGAACAACCACCGGCAGACCAAAAAAAGACAGCAAGACTCTGTCTTGCTCTCTTTCAAAGTCAGCTAGGGAATGAATATGCAGAATATAGAGAATGTGTAGTGTAGTGCATGTAGGAGTAAGGTGAATGAAGCAGGGTGGGTGTATGTCCTCATTAGTAGTTCTGATTTGTCATGTTCTAACTAACCAGTTCATAGTCTCTCAGCTACCTCCTGCCGTGAAGGACTACTTACTTAGGCAATTTACAATAAATGTGCCCAGGAGGAAAAAAAATAAATAAATAAAACTACTATGCAAGCGGAAAATAAAGGGAGCCTAACTTAAAGTTGTCACACACTTCCCAGATTTCCTGTGAAGTCTGAGCAGCTTTGACCCTACGCTGGATCCTCGTCCAGCTCCCATGCTTGAATCACTGCTGCCTGAGGCTCTTAGACTCCTGCTGCTACCCCACCGTAAGGAAAACTCAAACTTCCATAAATCTTCTTGGAGTGACTTATTGCTCAGCCTGCATCAACATCCAGTTCTGGAGCTGTGTTGGGTACCAAAAAAGAGCTTCTTCCATATGAGAAGCAGATCTCATCTAGCTCCAACATGTTTTCTACATTCAGTTTCTGAGGAAAAAGCAGCTAATGGTTCAGGGCTTGTGCTAGTGTCAGAGAGGGGTAGCCCTAACCAAATCCTAACCCTCCTATTACAAATCCCCTGGTGTTGCTTCCACTGAAAACTTATCAAGTGTGTTTTCCTTTGGACTCTAAAACTTTGTTACATCCTATTCACACAGCAAAATGTTTCAGTATTTCTGACGCTCTCCTTTAAAATACTGGAATGCAGGGAAAACTTGCTCTCCAAATAATCTCGGCATGAAATGCCGCTTAGGAGAGGCTATGCTGCTTTGGCAGGAGGACATTCTGGCTTCCAAATTCCGCTTGTAGGTTGGCTGCAAATACTGCTGACATAGCAAGACTGCTATGTTCATATGCACATTCCAGCTGTAAAGAGAGAGAGGGAGGTAAATGAGGACTGACAGTTTGAATTGGTGCATGTTTGACTAAACGTATATTACGTTCAGTGGCCATAAAATCGTTTTTGGAAAATTAAGAGAAACCCTATTCTGATTATTTCTACTTTTTAATTTCAGAATTTCTGTCTCTTTACATGTTATCCTTCTAGACTGTCAGTCGTCACTTCAGGAATATTCCTGTGAATGAGAAAGAGACGCTTGCGTATTTCATCTATATGGTGAAGAACAACAAGAGCAGGCTGGACCAGAAATCAGAAGGTAGCAAGCAACTAGAATGAAGATTAACAAGACTTGGAATAAGAGAGACCTTGAAGGAGCAGATGGTATTGTGCATTTTAGGTATATAAAAACTGCTAAAGTATATTGTAAATTTTTTTTTAAATGCAGTAAGTCTGGATGACAGAAAAAAATACAGACATTCTTATCAGGAGTATTTGAAAACATGTGCCCAGCATGTTTCTGAAGACTTCTTCCCCTCATTTCAAAGTCATATTGGAATAAAGAAATGAGGATAATGGGGAAACCAAGTAAACCTGTAGGACTGTGGAGTTTGTCAACTCGGTGTTTTAAACCATTTCTGGAAATCTGCATCTCAGTGCAATTCGGATCACAGATGGCATTTTTTCACTGAATTCAGACTGTATCACAAACCACCGTGCAGTTTGTCTTGACGCAGGACTGGAATAGCAGCAGAGATAAAATTCATTATTGAGGTGCATGGGTCAGAAGTTTCTGAAGCTTGCTCCCCACCTACACGTGCTCTGTCTTGCCTTGAGTCAGTGCTTCAAGTCCCAAACTTCTACAAATGCTCCAGCTCACCAAATCTACTCTAGTGAACACTACTTGACTAGTCTGAAATTGATTTTTGATTTTTTTTTTAACCATTTTTCCTCCCACCCCCTTCTGACATGGATGCCAAACAACTCTGCAATCCCTTTTTTTAATTTCTTTTATTTAAGAACTCACTAATTAATTGTCTGTAAGCATTTAAAAACTGTATTTCCTCAGAATGTCGTATTAAGGCAAGTACAGCTTATTTGCTGGTTTGATCATGTTGGTAGAAATGCTCATTTAATTCACTTATGCGTATTTCCCTTGTATTCAAGGCTCAGTGGTGGTAGGTGAAACAATGACTTAAGACATCTATCTCTTAATCTCTGTGTCGGATCAGGTATCAATCACAAGCGATGTGAATTTTATACTGAAGCTAGCCTTCAGCAGGTGTCACAAAACTGCTGTGTGGATTAGTGGGCTCGGCAGTCTCTGTCTGGTGTGAAGCAGACTTATGCTAATGGGTGTAGCACCATAGCCGGGGTAGTGAACTGACTGGAGCATGATGTGTTTCATCTGTCTTTGCAGTGGGCAAAAAGTATCGACGCACTTGCCTTTTGTGAGCATTATCTGTGCTTTCATAAGAGCTGTGTGCGTGGAGGGTGGCATGCTGGTGCTCTTTAACTGGGTGCTGTAGGAGGAGATCGCTCTGATTTTGTTATTTAAAGCCAAGGTGTCCTTACAAATAACACAGTGGTTATTTTGGCAAAAGGAGCTTAAAAAAAGCGTTGGTCGTGATTGACTGTTCTCCAGTGACCTCAAATTCTATTCAAGGGGATCTCATGATTTAAAACACCACTCTCTTTCTTTGCTGTCCTAATCAACATCTCCATTCTGTTACAAGATGCCAAGACTCCACATAGAGAGTATATTCTGAACGAGCCTTAATCAACAAACCGAACAGTAGAAAACTTTGACTAGCATTTTGTCAATAGCAGGTTTTAATATTCCAAAACTGGATGAAGCTTTGATGAAGAGCTAAACACGTAGATCACGATCCCAGCTTAGCACTGCATCGTGTTTTGTAAGGCATGAAGGGTTCACGTAGTGAAGCTCTTGTTGAAGCTCTCCCAGGGTCTCTTTAAAAATCAAGTCACAATTCAAAACAAGCTGTTCACATCAGCTCTGAAGTCTTTGCTAATACTCCAAAAACTTGTTCAACAAACTTCAACATGTCTAAGTCCTGTGTCATAGGCAGAAATACTCTGTTATGGTACACGTCCCGTTTGTGAAATTTTGGGGAGTGTGATTGTTTCAGCATTTCCTTGTTCGATTCAGTATGGATTTTAAGAACATCAGCCAGAAGAGAGGTTCAAGGAATGAGGAGAGAATGTCTTGCGTCGGTATTTCATGAATGTTTAAAAATTTCCTAATTACATTGATCCTTTCCTTACTGAAAGGATGGAGTAATTCCCACATCAGTCAACATGATCTGGCTTCTCTCATTCAGGACAGATAGCTAAAAGGGTACGTTCTCTGACTGCATGTTAATCTTCAAAGTGCTCGTGTAATCAGAGGATGTTGCCAAGGGAAAATTAGTTTCTGAGTTGAGAGGGTTATGCCTCATTGTAACTTCTAGACCAAAACTGTAAAAATGTAGTTTGTTTGGGGTTTACTTTTTTGTTATTGTATTTTGTTTTGTTTTATTTCTAAGAGTAAATAAATCTGTTGGGGTGTTTTAGCAGCCAGCAGCAAAATGATTCTTTTCAAGGAAATATGGTGGCAGGTTCCATCTGTCCAGGTGTATTCACTGGAATGCTTTTGTGCAGAGGTGGTATCCAGGAAACTTTTTTTTTTTTTTCTGAAAATAGGCAATTGATGCGAAATGTGATCCTTGTTGGTTTCACTCTTAAAGCAATTATACTTTTTTGAAAAAATTCTTAGTGAAGTGTGATGATGAAGAGATGTTTACCAGCCATTAGCAGTTGTTTATAAGGTGGAAAGCTTGGAGGCAGGACACCAAAGAAACAGAAGAATCTTTGGCTGTCGGACCCCAGGGCCTTATAAACCCTTGCAAATGCCTTATTACCTTGTTCTCAACTTAGCTAGAGCAAAACGCCTTGAGCAAAAGAAAGCCGATGTCTTGTTGGAAGGGTTAGCCACTTTATGGCTCCCATGCTATAAACTGAAATCACACGTCAATTCAGTAGCAATATCCATGTTCAGGGTGCCTGTGATTCTTGAAAAGCATTTAGTGTCTAATAACCAGAAAACGCAACAATGCAATTGTCATTCTGTATAATACCATTCTGTGTATTTGATTCCTTATGCTGCATGCCAATTAAAAAAGACTTTCCAACTTTTTGTTTTAAACTTCAAAGTAAATGTGTTTGAACCTCACACTTGTGAAGCCATGAGATGGGACATTTTCTCAGCACTTTTAGATGGGAATTGTTGGAAAGGTGGAAGACCCAAATCGCTTTGGCTGGTATAATAAGATTTTCTTCTTTTTTTTTTTTTTTTTTTTTTCTTTTACATTTTGCTTTTCACAGATAGGCCTTAAATTCTATCTAGCTTTGAACCATGGAGCACAAGCCTTGGGGGCATGGAGGATGACCAGATGTCATCTTCCATTTCTAATAGTGGAAGCTTATTTCTTACAAGCCTGCATAGGTGACATTCACCCTGGGGCAGAGGAATCATCTTTGAAGCCCTCCAGCCATTATATAGCCTAATTCAATTACATAGCCTAATTCAGCTCTCGTTGAAGAGCTGCGTTAATGTCATTAGACTTCTGAATAGATCCAAAGCCATTAGTATGAAATCCAAATAACGCGGAAACATCTCTTCCAGGGTCAACTTCATCCTGTATGGTGACCCTCTGCTCATTTTAAGGGAAGAAGAAATCATTGCTGGTAGTTACTGGCTTGAGCTCAACTGAAGGGAGTTGGAAGCATGCGAAGGCTTGAGTCAGTGACAGTCCAATGGCTGAAAAGTGCAAATATATCCAAGGAGGCTGTGTTAGAATGCAGGGGGTTTTTAAATTTGTGCATCTCAAAGAATACTGTATATCAACCTGAAGTAAAGAATTGCATGAAAAGCTAATGTTTCTTTTGCCAGGCACTTTAGATGCTCAACCTGAGAAAAGCAGAGTGGGCAGGTTTGTATGACTTGTCCCCAGTACTCTGGTGTCCCAGTTTTCATTAGAAATGTGGCTGTAAACCACATTAGTGATAGCCTGGAGCGCACGAGTTGACCAAAACATACCAAGTCTGGCATCTGAAGTTAGTCTTAATTGCAAGCTGGCTTCAGAGAGGCTTTGAAATCAAGAGCCAAAATAATCCACAGTAAGAGTTTTCAAGTGGGTCATAATGACACGGAGAAGATGGAACAGGCTGTGGCCCACAGAGAGACTGAACAAAACACGCTTCCACGGTTAGCAGCGTGGAGGAAGCTTTGTGTTCCGTGTTAGCTCTTGTAATGGGTGTTTTATGAGAGGGGAAGAGGGGGGGAGCTGTGCACTTTACGTCTTTTGGTTGAGCCAAATGTAAATACCAATGGGAGATCTTCAGCAGTAACTGCAGTTGGAGGGGAGAGAAGCGGTCTGCTGGGGGACTGCATATTTAAATTTACAGCTAGCCTCCTGTACAAAAGGAGACCCTGTACTGCCCAGAGTATTGACTGAAGAGTCCCAAAGGTGAAGGAATGTTATCGACGCCTCACTCCTCTTGTCACTGATGCCCTTCAGCCATCTCTAGCTTAGCAAGTTAGGGAGTTTACATTTTCCACTTTCAAAGTGCAAATTAGCTATTACAGTGTAAGATACTCCTTGCACTTTTCACAGCTATCCCTGGTCTCACATTTTTGACTTGCCTGTGAGCACATTTGTTTGGAATTAATTAAATGCTTGAAGAAAGCGTGGGGAGAGGAGGGGGGCTCCTGCCTTAAACCTGAACTTCCCTTGCAAGCAACTCTGCAGGCCATCCTGTACATTGGCAGGCTCCAGGAGCCTCGTCCTTAGCCGAGCCCCGACAGGGCTGGGTTTGCTCCTGCCCTTAGCTGCAGCTCTCTGCCCCGCAGCTATGGTGCAGGGGAGGGGAATAGCAGGTAACTTGCAGAATGGCTTAAGAGTCTTAGCGGGCTTACTGGGAGAGAAAAACTGTGTTCCCTCTTCTGTTTCTGGCCTCCATGTATTGTGCTGATCTTATGCCAAATGTTTTGGACACCTTGTATTTTTAACTGTGTAATATAGCTGTGTATTGTTAAAGCAACTTAGTAACTTATAGCAAAAAATGTAGAACTCATTTCTCTGAGGTGTAGGAAATGTCCTGCTTCCACTGTGTATGAGACTTTAACTCTGTACTGTCCGACAAAGATAAAATGCTGAATTTCACTTTAATAAATGATCTATCTAGCAACAAGGCCTACATTCCCTTCTGTTTGCCTTTCTGCCCTTAGCACTGTTGC